GGATCTCCGAGACCGATATATATATATATATATATATATATATGGATGATTGGTTACTTATTTTTGTTGATTTTTTCTATAATGCGCGTCGGCAGACTTGAGATAATCAAATGTTTTGACTTGCCCTGAATCCTTCGTTTTTTTTTTTTCTTGGTATTATGATATATTGTCCTTATCATTTAATGAAATGATAAATTGATCCCTGCTTGGAGGTAATTCGTTCATTGTGGTATCATGCAACACTGGCATTGTATACAGTCGGACTATTTACATCCATATAAAGTGGTCACAATTGCTTATAATCATCCGATGTGAAGTTTGATAGTTTGGATGTGTCACAAAATTCAAAAAAAATTTATTTGAAATTTGAGTTTGGTCTATAGAATAATTACAACCACCCAATTTCACATTCAATGGTCAAGATTAATGTCTCACATTGTATCAAAAGTAAATGGTCTCATTATGTACTTTCTTTGCAACAATAAGTAGGATTTAATGTTTTTTTTTTTTTTTCCGACAAGGTTATATAGGAATGAAACTTGAAACGTAGTGCTATAAAAACTCAACTACAACTACCTTGACTCAATTCCGATTCATTTCGAAGCATAATGGCCCATCTTATAACATGCTTTTCGAGGCATTTCATTTCAAGTGTCCACGTATCTGACCAAATCTGTACCATTTTTAGATCAATGAGATATTAGTGAATTTAAACTCCATTTTCCCAATATTTTCTAATTTTTAGAAAATCGGCGTTGATCAGAACCAGTGGGTGTGCAATTCAAGTCTAAAGTATGTATACCAACATCATGGGGCATTTAGAGAGCCATATTGATATCTTTAAATACATTCAAGGAAATATTGGTTACATTCAAATTCAGGAACTCTTAAAGTCATATGAACTGTTTTTACAGATTTTTTGGTTTCATGGAGTGCTGTAATACTTTAATCAACAAATTCCAATGGAGGGGAGGGCATGTGAGACTTTTTTGAAAAGTTCGGAGCTCTTTGGTCATTTTATCAAGTGGATGGATTTTCCTTCTTTTACAGTAATTAATTAGTAGTTTAAATGGTATATAAATATGAATCTTTCTAGATGGGTGTTCGTTGGGTCCGGGTCAAACGAAACGGCCATTCCGTACCACCCGAAGGAATCAATCTTTCCATGTTCAAACAATTCATGAATAGTGCACCAAGAATCTATTCTATTCTCAAATAAATAAAGTAACAAGATTCTATGGTCCCCCGCTATTTAAGTATTAGAATAATAAAAATACAAGGAAAAGGATTTTATGGTCCAGCAGCCTCATAGTGTGTAGCGCACTAAAAGTTCTTTTCTTTTTTTTAAAGTTTTTTTTAGCTATTTTGATGTAGTCAAGATTAACCTTTTTTTTTAAAAGAAATCCAAGAAAATATGGAAAAAAGAAAATATAAATACAATCTAGACGATTAATGTGAGGATGACATCAGTTTTAAGAATCATCTCACTGGGCACATTTTCACCAATTATGTTGAAAGATACTTAAATTTTTCCTTTTTTGGGTTTGGAACCGTAATAAAAATAAATAAATAAAATAAAATAAAAAAAATAATAATAAATGATGGTTCATATAAATATGATGATCCTTAAAGACCATCATCATTTTTAAAGCTTTTGGTTTGAATTTGTTTTGTTGGCCGCTGCCGTGCCACGTCGAGTGGTAAGCGTATAAGAAGTAATATAAACGTATGAGGTGCCACGTCGAGTGGTAAGCGTATAAGAAGTAATATAAACGTATGAGGTGTGACTTAATAAAATATTATTATAAAGTGTCGTAAGAGTTTAAATACGAGAGACGAGGACTTCCACCTTAGAAAACTTTTGAGATCTTTCTCTCTCTAGTCGAAACACTGTGAGCTCTTCTCTCTAGCCGAATTTTTATCAGAAGCTCCCTCTCAAATATTTTAGGTAAGC